CAAACTAGCAAACAGAGTGGCACATCTACCCCATTCACTCCAGTATATTGAAGCAAAATAAAGCAAAAAAAAAAAAAAAAGTCACACCACACCAGCATACAATCACCAATTAAATGTAAATACACAGCATCACAATGGCCTGGAGAAAACTGGCAACCACAGTTCTCACAAAGAAGTGTGAAAAAATAGTACAAACAAGGGACCAACATACAAAGCCAGAAAATCTCTCCGAGGAAGTTGTTGTTGTTATGTGCCGTCGAGTCGGACCCAACTCATAGTGACCCCTCCTCGGGTTTCCGAGGCAGTATCACTACGGAAGTAGATTGCCCCATCTTCCTTTTGAGGAGTGGCTGGTGGGTTTGAACTGCCAGCCATCTGGTTAGCAGTCAAGTGACTTAGGCACTATGCTACCAGAGCTCCCAAGAAGTGGCATTAAAACGACCTGAGAAGGAATTCAAAAGAATTAAATTTAAGTACCTTCAATGGGTTGAAAGACAGTACCTTCAGTGGGTTGACAGGCAGAACACTGACAAAATCAAGAAAAACATTGGCAAAATTAAGGAAAACACAGGAAAAACTCTAGAAGAATTTAGGAGAACAATATGAAAACTGACAAAATAAATGAAAAATTAGCAACCATACAGAAACAGCAAATAGAAATGCAGAAAATTAATAGTAAGATTTCAGAAACAGATAACCTATTGAAAAGGCAAAGGAGTAGAATAAAACCAATGGGTGACAGAATTAATGAGATTGACGACAAGTACCTCAATACAACTTTGTTAAGGAAACAACCAGAAAAAAGAACAAAACAAATGAAGAAAGCATAAAGTTTATGTAGGACACCATTAGGAGGAATAATTTACATATGATTGGAATTCCAGAACAGGAAGAGACAAACCACAGAAAACACTGTGAAAGATTTGTTGGAAAAAAAATTCCCTAATATGGAAGATGAGAAATATATATTCAAGAATTTCCATGAACCGCAAACAGAATTGACCCCAAAAGAAAATGGCTGAGAAATACCAAAATCAAACTGATTAAACCAAAGACAATGAAAGAATCCTGAAAGCAGCACAGGAAAAATGAAAATTACTTATGAAGCAGCAACCAATAAGATGAAGCTCTGATTTCTTGGCATAAACTATGCAGGCGAGAAGGCAAGGGAATGATGTTTATAAAATCTTGAAAGAGAAGAGTTGCCAACCATGATTTATATCACTCACTGCCTTCAAGTTGGAGCCGACTCATAGTGACCCCTCCTTGGGTTTCCGAGGTGATACCACTATGGAAGTAGATTGCCCCATCTTCCTTCTGAGAAGTGGCTGGTGGGTTTAAACCACCAGCCTTCTGGTTAGCAGTCATCCTTCAAATATGATGGC